CATTCTGGGTTTCCAGGGTAAATATACAGGAGATTATCCCTCTTTCTCTGCTGGAACTGTTAGTGGATTATTGAGAGTCATGACCTTTGGGTTAGCAGCACAATTTTTTTGCCACACCAAAACTCCCTAGGAACAACTAGGCAAGGAGTAAGATGGACAATTTCCACACACAGAGACTTACAACTTCCACTTTTGTTAGGTATTGTCTGGTTGACTACAACTCCTAGTGATTTTATGAACAACAGATCTGAACCTTGCTTGTCCTATCCTGCTGTCCTCGTGATCTTTGCCATGATTGAGACCATTACTACAGTCACTGTATATCATTCTATCTCCTTATAGGTCATCTTCTCTTTCAATGATCCTAACTTTCCCAGTATGATGTTGTTGTTTACAGTCAAGTCAGAACTGACCCATTAACTGGCCTTCCAATAGGTTTTCAGAGGCAGTATACTGCAGAAGCGGAGATTACTCATCTTTCTCCCACAAGTAACTGGCGGATTCGAACTACGTACCTTTGGGATTGCAGCACAGTTCATACCACTAAGGCCACCAAAGCATTCACTGACCATATCTTTCCCAGCATGATAGACCTAAAAAGACTTATCTCATTGACATTAAGTCAGAATCAAATCATATTTTACTCTCCAGCAGATTGTCAGAGGTTGTAAATTACATAGGAGATTAACGGCCTTTGGGTTGGTAGAGCAACTTCTTACCTACTAGGTAAGAGCTCCCTGATGGTGACTTTGTTGTTAGGTGCCACTGAGTAGACCACACTCATAGTAACCCTATGAACAACAGATTTGAACCCTGACCTCTCCAGTTTCATCCCCATCATCTCTGCCACACTGGAGCCCATTGTTACAGTCATTGTGTCAATCCATCTGGTTGAGAGTCTTTCTCTCTTTCACTGACTTTCCACTCTTTCAAGCATGCTGTTCTCCAAGGACTAGCCCTTCCTAACAACATGTCCAAAGTGTGTGAGATGAAGCTTCGCCATCCTTCTCTCTAAGAAGCACTCTGGCTGAACTCTTTATAAAATGTATTTGTTTGTTCTCATGGTTGTCCATTGGATATTTAGTACCCATCTCCAGCACCACAACCCAAAGGCATCCATACATACTCCCTCTGTCATCCTTATTCATTGTTCATCTTTCAAATGCATATCAAGTGATTGAAGAGACCATGGTTTAAATCAGCCATAATCTTCCCCCCCTTTATTTAATTAATATTATTAATTTAAATGAAAATTTACAGAGACTTTGGTCATAATCTTTTAAAAACGATATCTTTTAAAGACAGCCATTGTTTTTGTTTGTTTGAATTTTTTTTTTAAGACAGGCATTGTTGTTGTTGTTGTTGTGTATCATTGAGTCAAAACTAACCCACAGGTGATACTCCAATGGGTTTTCAGAGGTAGTTAATAGCAGGGAGGAGACTGCACATTTTTCTCCCAGAGAGAAGGATTTCGGCCTTCAGGATTGCAGCACAGCTTTTTGCTATTAGACTACCAGAACTCAAGGAGACAGCCTTAGTCCTTAAAAGATATCCCAGTGTACCTTGGTCTTTAAAATGACATCATTACTCTAGCACTTTGGCAAGGTTTCTTATTGCACATTCCCAATGCAATACATATTTTGATTTCCTGACTGCTGGTATCAAAGTTGTGGAGAAGGGTTCCATGTGAACAGCAGTTGAACAAGAGTCAGTTGGCCCTGAGAGACGGGTGAGCACCATTCAGAAGGGACAGTTGATGGCCTCTGTTGCCCTCAGCTACTTGAAAGGGAGTCAGGTTCAAATCTCCAAAACTGGAGTGTGGAGAGTTACAAAGTTGTTGATTGTGAATTCAAGGAAGATGGAATGACTGACAATTTTTATCATTTCTCCATCCATCATAATGTTGCCAATGATGAACACTGTTGTTAGATGTCAACAAGTTGAATATAATTTGTAGTAACACTACAAACAACAGATATGAACCTATCCTGTTCCATTCTCACAATCTGATACACTCAAGCCCATTGTTGCAGTCATTGTGTTATTCCATCTGCCTGAGAGTCTTCCTCTCCTCTGTCCATCCACCTTTCCAGGTATGATGTCCCTCTCCAAGGAATAACTTCTAGCAACATGCCCAAAATATGTAATATGAAGGTTTATCCTCTTTGCCTCTAAGAAGCACTCTGGCTACACAGAGATATCTGTTCTCTTGGTAGTCTATGGGATATTTATCACTCTTCTCCAACACCATAATTTAAAAAAAATAAATTCTCCTGTCATCTTCGTTTATTGTCCAGAAGCATAGGAAGTGACTGAAAATACCATGTCCTGAATCAGGTACACCTTAATCTTCAAACTGACATCATTGTTCCGCAAGAGCACCTTTATTCCAGGTTGTTGTTGTTAGGTGCTGTGGAGTCGAGTATGACTCAGAGTGGACAACAGATTTGAACTCTGTCTTACCCTGTGCCATCCTTATAATTTCTGACACACTTGAGCCTTAATTGCTGCAGTCACTGTGTCAACTCATCTTGTTGATAGTCTTCTCTTTTGCCAACCTTCCACCTTTCGAAGTAGGATGTCTTTTTCAAAGGAATAGCCTCTCCTAGCAACATGCCCAAAATATGTTAGATGAAGTTTTATCATCTTTGCCTATAGAGCATTCTGGTAGCACTTCCTCAAAGATTATCTACTTGCTCTTTGGCAGTCCATGTAATATTAAGTACTTTTCTTCAAATCATAACTCAAAGGCATCAATACTTCTTCTGTCATCTTTAGTCATTGTTCAGCTTTCAGATGCATAACAAATGATTGAAAAGATCATAGCCTGAATCAGGCGCAACATTGTCTTCAAACTGACGTAATTTCTCCTCAGTAATTTGGAGAGGTCCTTGACAGCAGACTTTCCCACTACAGTACATCTCCTGACTGCTGATACCAAGATGCTGGTTGTGGATCTAAGATGAAATCATTGACAGTTTCCATTTTTTTCTCCATCTATCATGATGTTGCCTAATGGTCTATTGGCGAGGATTTTTGTTGCCTGGTTGCTGAAATGCAATTAATATTGAAGGCTGAAGTCTTTGATTTTCCATAGCACATACTCTAAGTTTCCCTCATTTTGAGCAAGCAGGTAGGGTTATGTCATCTGCAAAATGCAGATTATTGATGAGTCTTACTCCAATCTTGATACCATATCCTTTTTCATAGAGATCAGTTACTCCAGTGAATTGCTCATCATACAGGTTGAATAGATATGGAGAAAAGATATATGCTGACACAAACATTCCTTAATTTTAAACTATGCAGTGTTCTCTGGCTCTGTTCAGACAACAGCTTCTTGGTCTAGATATAGTTTTCACATGAGCACAATAAAGTGTTCTGAGATTCCCATTATTTACTGTTTTAGCCAAAGTTTATGATGCACACAATCAAATACTTTCAAAGGAAAGTATCAAAAGAAGATAGAAGGAATACACAGAGTCACTGTAGTAATAAGAATTGACATTGAAATATTTAAAGAAGTAGACTATGACTAAGAGTGTATGATAATGAAGGAAGAAATTGAAGCAGCACTGAAGGTATTGATAAAAAATAAGGCATCTTGGGGAAGGTTGGGCAGGAAGAAAAGTGAAACAATGAAGGAATGGAAATCCAGTCTCTGTAAACTTTCATTAAAATTAATAAAAAATAAAAGGCATTAGCAATCAATGGAATACCAATGGACATGTTTCAACTAACAGATGTAGCCCTGGATGCACTCACCAATCTATGGAAAATGGTCTGGAGGACAGTTGACTGACTGATTAAAAGAGATCCACGTTTGTTCCTCTTCCCAAGATTACCAAATAATATCACTAATATCACATACAAGCAAAATACTGCTAAAGATCATCCAAAACCAGCTACAACTACCAGAAATTCAAATGGGTTTAAAAGAAGCAGTTGCTTGCCGTCCAGGTGAACCCTCCAGCAGGTTTTCAGAGGCAGTAAATCACAAGGGAAGAGACTGTCCATCCTTCTCTCAGGGAGCATCTGGTGGATTCAAAGCATGTTCTTTTGGAATTGCAGCGCCATTGGAGCTCTCCAGCAGAGGCTGTGGCACAAAGGATATATATCACTGCTAATATCAGATGGACCCTGGCTGAGAGAATACCCAAAGAATGTCTGTGTGCTTTATTGACTATTCCAGATTAGAGATCTTCAACTTCTGGAATACCCACCCCACTCCCCACCCCCATCCAAGTATTTTGAAACCAACTGGCTAGTGGCAGAGACATGTCATGTTTAATTTGGAAAATCATAGTTAAGTGTTCAGAGGCAGCTTTGCCCTCGATTGAATAGAAATAATGTAATAAAATAGAAATTAAGCACTTTCATTCAAGGCTTTGGAAAGATCCCCAAGGATTGTTAACTAGCTTTTAAGATTGTTTTTCTGCTTTGCAATGTCAAAATATTTTCATTAATTGTTTAAAATGGTTGCTTATTCATTTAAGATTTAGTAGATAAAATTTAGTTGAAAATTAAGTTTGGATTTAATGAGACATATCACATGTTGTGCAGGCGTGCTCATGTGCAATTGAATAGAACTGGTGAAAAGAACGGCTTCAAAGAACTGTTTACCAGAATAACTCACCAGGAATCCTCACAAAAATGCAAGATTAACAGCTGTGTGTCTAAAGAGCATCACGCTGGTTGTGGATATAGCAGTTAACATCACTGATTAAATACAGCCAAATTGATAATCTGGGATTCCATTTAAACTAGAAACTACTACAGCCACTACATACGGAAACTGATTCACTACAGCTGGGCTTTTTTAAATTTTGCAAGAATATTAAAGTGTCTTGTGCACAACTCTTTTAAGTGGAAACAGTAGGTGGCTCTGAAAAGAGCCTATTAAGTCTCAGAATATTCAGCTTATGCTCTCTCTCCACGGATGCGGCGGGCGAGCTGGATGTCCTTGGGCATGATGGTGACACGCTTGGCGTGGATGGCACACAGGTTGGTGTCCTCAAAGAGCCCCACTAGATAGGCCTCACACGCCTCCTGCAGCGCCATGACGGCCGAACTCTGGAAGCGCAGGTCGGTCTTGAAGTCCTGGGCGATCTCGCGCACCAGGCGCTGGAAGGGCAGCTTGCGGATCAGCAGCTCGGTGGACTTCTGGTAGCGCCGGATCTCGCGCAGCGCCACGGTGCCAGGCCGGTAGCGGTGAGGCTTCTTGACGCCGCCGGTGGCCGGGGCGCTCTTGCGGGCTGCCTTGGTGGCCAGCTGCTTACGCGGGGCTTTACCGCCAGTGGACTTACGAGCTGTCTGCTTGGTACGAGCCATAATAACACAGAACAAACGTCTTGAGAAGCACTTCTGAAGGAAAAAAAAAAAAATCTAACCTTCTTTTATAGAACTAGACGACCAACCAGTGGCCCCGAGAACATGAGAAAGTGCCCGCGTCTTCTCCTGATTGGTCTATCGCTATACACTGCCCGGATAAAAAGCTGCCTTCGGATTGGTGAACGAATCCTAGCATTATTATTCCCCACCCCCAGGCCAGTTTGGTGCCTTTTTTTTTTTAAATGAGAGAAACCCCCAAACCCAACAACCCCAAAACAAACCAAAAAACCAACCATTTCTTCACTCTTGGCTGGGAAAAAGAATCTTTTCCTACAATTTTGTAAAGCCTTTCAATGGAAAGCAATGTAATCATTCAGCAACATAATGGTGGGGTTTCCCCCCCGCTCCTGTTTATGGTTAAAAACACTCAAAAGGTGACTAAAGTCCTTTGGGTTTCATCCGATTGATAAATATTTGATTATACCATGGACTGCCAAAAGAACAAACAGATATGGGTTGGAGTAAGTGCAGCCAGAGTGCTCCTTAAGAGATAGAAATGGTGAAGCTTTGTGTCAAATCCTTAGGGCATGTTTTTAGGAGGGGCTATTCTTTGGATATGATGCTTGGCAGTGGATTAGGAGGTCCTCAGAGATGGATTAAGTGACTGCAGGAACAGGTTCAATTACATGACCACGTGGATGGTGCGGAATTTAGATTTATTCAGTATCACGGTCGTACTTGACTGGAGGGCACTTACTATATTCTTGGGTATGACACTAAACTGCTATAATTGGGGGGGGCAAGATAACACTTGTTACATGTAACCAGTTACCTATGTAGTGCCAATATACCATAATGTATATAACATGCTCAGTATAACCTAGTAAACTGTCTGCCACTCCTATTTTACCTTAGCCATTTCGTCAAGTTGCAGTAATTTTTATGTCTGTCCTCTTTCCTAACTAATATTCAAGTATTTCCTTCGAGGTCTTAAGACCTAAATAACTGCATCAATGTAATGCACGTTTGAAAATAAAGCGTGACTGCTCTTTTCAAGGAATTGTAGGTGGCTCTGAAAAGAGCCTTTTGTTTTGGAAGACGGCAAATTGCTTCCTTCTGGAACTGCTTTACTTGCCCTTAGCTTTGTGGTGGCTCTCGGTTTTCTTGGGCAGCAGCACGGCCTGAATGTTGGGCAGGACACCGCCCTGTGCGATGGTAACGCGGCCCAGTAGCTTGTTGAGCTCCTCGTCGTTGCGGATGGCCAGTTGCAGATGGCGCGGGATGATGCGAGTCTTCTTGTTGTCGCGAGCTGCGTTGCCCGCTAGCTCCAGGATCTCAGCCGTCAGGTACTCCAGCACCGCCGCCAGGTAGACGGGAGCGCCGGCGCCCACCCGCTCGGAGTAGTTTCCCTTTCGGAGCAAGCGATGAACACGGCCCACAGGAAACTGGAGCCCAGCCCGAGAAGACCTAGTCTTTGCCTTAGCGCGAGCCTTGCCACCTTGCTTTCCACGGCCGGACATTGCGATCTAGATGAAAGTACAACACAAACAGCAAGACTTAAGTAACGTAGTACACTGGGAAGCAAGAGACTTATTTATACTGACTGGAGGCATGCTGGGTGTACCTCTCTCATTGGCTACTTTCATTAACCAATAGAAAATTAAATTCTGTATCCCTCATTTGCATATAGCTCGGCATTCTGGTTTGAAGTTTAAATTTTATCCAATCACTAATGTGAATTGTGAGTCATTACTTGAATACTAATACTAAAACAATTTCTCGCTCCTTGTTTCTCCTTTCATCATCTATGAGACAAAAGCGGATGGGATCCGGGAGAAAGTGGAGAATTAGTTCAGAATCTTCTCATGGGTCATGGCAGAGGAGTCTCATTTCCAAATTAGATGGTAAAAAGATCAAGCACTTTGTTGTGAGAAAATATCCTAAATTCTCTGCTCAGCATACATATTGAATAGGTATAGAGAAAGGATACACTCTTCCTGATTTTAAACTATGAAGTGTTCTTTTATTCCATTCCGACAGAAAGAAACTTCTTGGTCTATGTATAAATGTTGTACGATTACACTTAAGTGTTCTGCGATTCCCAATCTTTTCAATATTAGCCATAGTTTGTTGTGATCCACACAGTCAAATGCCTTTGCGTAGTCAATAAGACACAGACAGACATTCTTCTGGTATTCTCTGGTGCAGTCAGGGAGCTCTTTGGATGCACGGATGGTGAGGCTTCCTCTTGCATATTGTGGGCGTGTTGCTAGGAGAGCACAACCTTTGGAAAAGGATATCAAGTTTGGAATGGTGGTGGTACAGTCATAGAGAGGAAGAACCCTCAATGAAGTGGTTTGACAGGAGTCTGCAGCAATGGGCTCAAGTGTATCAGAGATGATGAGGATGGCACAGCATAGGAAAAGATTAAGGTCTGTTCACAGAGTTGCTATGAGCTGTTCTAGACTAGAGGGTATCTAACAACAAGAAGTTCTTTGCAAGGTATGGTATGATCCAGGGAACCTGGGAAGAAAGTAAAGATGCTTAGTTTCTTTTTTCTTTCTTGTTCTTTCAAACTTTCTGACTTTTATTAATTTCTCTCTTACTACTCTACTACCCTCCTTAAAAAAATTTTGTCACATCAACAACAATGATCTCAATAGTCCCTAACTTTGAACTGCTGCAAGATGTATGAGAAATATTGCAGACCCCACCACAAAAAAGCTACACTGGAAATGGAGAATTAGTACATTAGAGGGATCAAATAGCTAGTAATGAATATTCTGAATTAAAAACCAAAAGTTTAAAGCAATAAATAATACGAGTACATGGGAAAGAAGTGCAATTATAAAATAGAAAGAGAAAGCTCATAAGAGAGATGTACTCCTAGTGTTTACCTAAGAAAATATTCACCAAATAATAATCAGCTTTCTGAACTAATTCATTCTGCTAAAAATTGAGTTTTCATTCCAGATATACTCAATCAGAACCTACTGAGTAACAGGATACCCAGGTATCACTTGTCACTCTGGACTAAATAAATGCTGGGCTGATAACCGAAAGTCCATGGTTGAAATACATCAGGTGCTCCTTGAGAGGCAGATGAGATAATCAATCTGCTTCCATAAAGCTATGAACATTTGAAGGGGTAGTTCCATTCTGAACCACAGGGTTGCTATTAGTCGGAATCATAATCCATTCAAATAGAATGAGCAGGGAAAGCCACCAAGAAAGAAGTACTTAGTCGGATTCAGATATGAAGGATATGAAGAAGCTGGCCAGGTAAAAAGATAGAATAAATGTTTCATAAAAGGCCAAATGTATTAAAGCTCAGAGGAATGTTAGGATTTAAACACCAGAAGATTGTACTGTTCTAATTTCCTAAAGACACTATAAACATTTTGATGAAATAGTAGAAATATACAAGGTTACACAAAAAAGAAGCCAAGCTTAAGATTTGACTAAATAAATACAGGCACAAAGGTGAGAAGAGATAGTTACAACACCAAGAATGCATATTCCACTGAGTCAATGAATAGATGAAAATAACTCTATTGGTTTAAGTCATAATTAAGAAACACTTGGAATTTGTTACGAATGGAAAACTTAACCAAATCTTATCAGCAATTGTTCTTTATATAAGTAAATACTTATCTTTAAGGAGGAATTTTGTACAAGACAAATCTTGCACAGAAGATGATGAAGAATAATTTATCCCATAAAAAATAAGGGGGAAAGGAGTTACTCACCACAATTACAACTCTAACCCCAGGGACAGTGAAAGAAGGACAATCTGACCTGCATTGAGAGCTCTGGTGCCATAGCATTTTGAGAGCTGCACTATTAACCTAAAGACCACACCTCACTGGAGGTTCAAATCCCCTAGCAGGTCCATGGGAGAAAGATGCACAATCTCCTTTGGTCCTTAAAAAGATAAAAAATCAATGGAGTATCTGGTATCAATCAGTTCTGACTTGGCAGCCATGAGCTTGAGGGGTTTTAATAGTATTTGTAAGTGGCCTAGTGAATTACGATGGAGTTCTGGTGGTTTAGTAGTAAGGAGTTTCCCTGCCAACAGTCACAAAGGCAAGCTGTTTGAATCCACCAAACTTTCATCAAGAGAACCATGGGCAATCTCCTCTCAGGCAATTTACTGCCTTTGAAAACCCCCTGTAGAGCTAGCTGGGAGTCAGTTCTGACTCCTGACTCCACAGTATACTACAACAGTGGATTATGTGTTGGGTTGTTAACTAAATGATCTGATTCTGCCAGAGAAAAGATTTTCTCCATGAAAGATTTATAGCCACAGAAGCCAGATGGAGTCAGAACCAACTCAATGGCAGTGAGTTAGATTCTTGGTAGATATGTGTGGATCACAACAAATTGTGGCTAACCTTGAGGAAAATGAGAATCCCAGAACACTTGTTTGTGCTTATATGAAACCTATACTTGGACTAGGAAGCAGTCTCACTGCGTGGTTCAAAATCAAGGAAGAAGTGTGTCAGGGATGCATTGTGTCCCTATACCTTTTGAATCTATATGCAGAACAGATCATTCAGGAAGCAGGGCTTTATGAAGCGGAATGGGAAATCAAGATTGGAGGAAGACTCATAAATAACCTATGATATGCAGAGGACACAACCATGCTGGCTGAAACTGAAGTGAATATCTAATCATTGCTGAAATCAGTCATAGAAGTATAATTTAGCTTTAATATACATGAGAAAAAACTAACATAGAAGTGATACATAAGAAAGGGCTTTCCCTTCTCTAATAATATTTGAAGTCTAAATACAGCAGCCTTCCACCAGGACAAGAGCTGGTGGGCACTAGCCAAATGACATTTCTGTGGGACAAGTGTGGGCAGTCTCCTCCCATACAGATGCATAACCTTTGAAAGCCTTGGATGATCACCATGAATTGTAATCCACAAATTGGATTTGGTTTTGATTCGCCCACCAGTGCCCATATATAGTTTTGTTAGACAATGATGAATTTTATTATGCCTTATTTGGGGGCAGGATTTCAATTCCTAGGACCCCCAATTCATTTTCTAAAGTTCAAATCTTTATGACAGGAGATTGCCCATTTTTCTCCACAGAGTTACTGGTGAGTTCAAATTGCCAATCTTTAGGTTAACAACTCAGAAATTTTCATACATCATCAGGGCTCCTTTGTTGTTGTTATGCTCTGTCATGGGAGTGACAGGTTTTCCAATTGCCTGTCCTTCTCCCACGGATCAGCTATTGGACTCAAACCTTGAGTTGGAAGCACAACTCTTTACCACTAGGGTAGTTCTTAAAAAAGAATATTTTACTTAGGATTGTGGAGAGTCAGCAAAAGAGAAGACCTTCAACAAGATGGATTGACATAGTGACTATAAACCTATAGAAACAGTAGGTTTAAGCAAAATGTAATGAACAAACAGGCAAGAATCTCAGTCAAAAAAAATTTTAAAATTTATATTTCCATGAAATAAAAATTCTAGTAACAGGAGTCAAGGCTATCTTGACTGGTGACACCTAGTAAGATTCTGTCACAAGGCCAAGGGCAATTAAAGCAGTTCTAGAAGGAAACAACCAACTGTTTTCCAAAAAGAAGCGAAAGGCTGTTTTCAAAGCTACCTACATTTTCCATTAAAAGAACATTTGCTCTTTGCTTTACTTTCAAACATGAATTCTACTATTGATGGTGCAGCTTTTTAGGTCTTCTGGCCCCAAAGAAAATACTTGAACATTAAATGGGAAGGAGGACAGGCTTACAAGTTTATTGCAACTTAAAAGGAAGAAATGGCTAAGGTAAAGGACTTTTAAACCAAAAGGAAGTGGCAAAGATAGTTTACTATGTTACACTGGGAATGTTATACATTCTGTATGGTATATAAGCACTATTTATGTAAAATACGAATCTTAAATCTTGCCCCTCCAACCAACTGATCGTAGCATTTTAGTATCATACCCAACAATATTATACGAAAACATTTATTGTTAAGTGCCCTTGAGTTAAATAAGACTCTGTAATCCTGAATAAATCTGAATTCTGTCCTATCTTGGGCCATCAATGTCATCTCCTGCATATCTGAGCTCATTTTTGCAGTCACTGGTACTCCATGTCTTTGAGGGCCTTCTAACCATCCACTCTACTAAGCATGATATCCCTTTCATATATTAAACAAATTTTTATTTAGAGCTTCTGATTAGGCAGCTTTCTAGGTCTTAGGGATAAAGAAGGGAGCTCTGGTGGCATAATCTACAGGGAGCTGTGCTGTCAACCCACAGATGGTGCTTCTCAGATAGTTTGAATCCACAAGTTGCTCCATAAGATGGGCAATTTCCTCCCTGGGTGATTTAAAACCTCCCAAAACCCACTGAAGTATCAGCTATGAGTCAGTTTCAATTCAATGACAACAGAATAAGAATGATAAAGAAACTATTAATGGTTCTGGAACTTCTTGGGGTTCTAAATGAGGTGTGTGATTGCCTCACATACTTCGGGCATGTTGCCAGGAGGGGCTATTCTTTGGAGAGGGACATAATGCTTGGAAAGGTGGTGGGCTGGTGAAGTAGAGAAAGACACTTGACTAAGTAGATTGGCATGATGACTGCCACAATCACCTCTAATGTGTCAGAGAGTGTGAAGATGGCATAGGATAGGACAAGATGCAGATCTGTTGTTCACAGGGTCATACATGATGACACCTAACAACAACAACAACAACATCTATTAAGTAAAAAAAAAGACTCCTTGTGACCCATAAGCAGATTTTCAGAAGTAAAATAATTGATTGTCCGTCTTTCTCCTACAGAACAGCAAGTGGATTTGAACTACCTGCCTTTCTGATAGCAGCAAAATTCCTTAACCAGTATGCAGCATGAGATGATGATTCTTAAATGACAACTTAAATTCATTCTTCTTTAACTGAGGTTATGGGTTCTTATAACATAAAAGATAAATATTTTCCATTTGTAAGACCAGCATTCCTTCCTTCTGTGATAGGAAAGAATCCTGGAGTTGATTATTTTTATTTTCCTGCTAGTGAAATTATACTTTAAACTTTATTTCATTCTCTGAAGACATTGCTGTATGTCACCTACACAACAGACTTATAAACAGACTGAAAATGTTTTAGGTAACTGTCTCTTAGTTCCCCCCTCCCCCCGCACCTAGAGATGTGCCTATCAACTTAATTTCTTCACTCTGCATTTTTCACATCGTTTTGGGGGGGAATATTTAAATACTTTTGGAGTCCAAAGTGGCCTAGGGGAGTAGGTGTTGCTCTGCCAATCCAAAGATAAGTGGTTCAAGGCCATCAGCTTCTGTGCGGGAGAAAAATGAGCAGACTCTTGTGCGATTTTAGCCTCAAAAAACCCACTAAGGGGTCAGCTATGAATTGATTACCACATAACAGACTCTTCCAAATTTATTTACAAAGAGAAAACTGCAGTTGGCCTGCAACTGACATCCTCTGAGTAACCATAAAGTGGCAGTAAATGAGAAAGGGAGAGAAACTAAAATGCTCTGTCCTACCCACAATGTTAGCTATTGCTCCATCCCCCTCTAGTGATTAAATCCCTAAAGGTTAAAGCACATATGAAAGTAGGCCCATATTTCCTGTATACATTACTGATGTAACTGGTTGCAGAATAACAAGATCTAGTAGACTCTACAACAGATTTGTGACAACCAGTATAGACTCCTTTGTGTATTTCTTCAATGCAGACATCTAGATCTGACCCACAATATTTTTGTGGCTTAAAAAATAAATAAAGGACGGCAAGGACCCCACAATTGACCAAACACAGGCATTGCCTAAGGTTTCTTACCCTGGGAAATGCTCTATTACCTTCTAGGGAATTTAAAATACCTTTGGAAAAAGGAAGAGGCTACGAGCACTGTTATTATTCCCTACTAGAAAGAATACACAGGATTTATGCAGAGCAAACAAAAGCAGGCTTTCAACAAAGGGCTGATTACACATTGTAACTAACTCTTCTATCCAATAACTGAACTCTGGTTTCCTAGTGATAAGAAGCTGCTTTGCAATCACAAAAGCAAATGATCCAAACCCACAATTGCCACATGGGGCAAGGATGAGCAATCTTCCATACTATTTATTGCCTCTGAAAACCTGCTGGATCAGTTATGCGTTGGTTCTGACTTGATAGTACACAATATACTAACCAATAGTAACATCACAGTATTAATCATTATACTAAAAATAAACATCATTTGCAGATCCTCATCCACACCTATAAGATTATCCTCATCCACACCTATAAGGTTATTTCTGAAACTGCTTCCATTTTGCGTTTAATAAAAGCTACAAAAGCAGGAGTGGCTTCCAGTCCCGAAATAGCTTGCCTCCGGAAACTCTATGAACAGTTCTCAGGCCTTTCGTTCATAGGGTTGCTGAGTAGTCTATGACTTGACGGCACCTAACAACAACAACAACATGTATTGACTATACCATGGACTGCTAGAACAATCAAGTTTGACCCGGAGAGGGTGAAACTGGACTGTTTCTTGGACGTAAGGATTTTGAAGCTTCGTCTGACATACTTTGAGCATGTTGCAAGGAGGGAGAGTGGAGGGACAGAGCAAGAGAGGAAGACCCTCGATGAGATAGATCAGTTCAGTGATTGGAGTAATGGGAGCAGGGGTGTCAGAGACAGTGAGATTGCCACAGGAAAGAGTAGGGTTTAAGGCTCTTGCACATGAGTCACAAGAGACTCGACGGCACATAACTACAACAACATATGTACAAATAAACTCATGCTATAATTCCTAATACCAACTTTCTGAAAAAAGTAGGTGGCTCTGAAAAGAGCCTTTGGCATATGAGAGAGTCGATGTAGGCAGATTTACTTGGAGCTGGTATACTTGGTGACGGCCTTGGTGCCCTCGGACACGGCGTGCTTGGCCAGCTCCCCGGGTAGCAGCAGGAGCACGGCCGTCTGGATCTCCCGGGACGTGATGGTGGAGAGCTTGTTGTAATGCACCAGGCTGGACGCATCGCTGGCGATGTGCTCGAAGATGTCGTTGACGAAGGAGTTTATGATACCCATGGCCTTGGACGAGATGCCAGTGTAGGGGTGGACTTGCTTCAGCAGTTTGTAAGCCTAGAATAGCTCTCTTTGCGGCTGCGTTTGCCCTTCTTGCCATCCTTCTGCGCCTTGGTTAAGGCCTTCTTAGATCCTTTCTTAGGCAGTGGTGCAGACGACTTTCCCCCGTAAGTATTTGAAAAATACTATCAAACATGAAGTATTGTACAATTCTTTATAGCTATTTGATTCAAACCGGTTTGAGAATTCTAGCCCCTGATTGGTTACATTGTCTCCAAGTGAGAGTATGCAAAGTAGACACAGTTCCTTTTTCTATTGGGCAACACTACAAATCTTTTAGCCTATCAGATAGCTTGTACTTATAGTCTTGTACTGCCTATAAGATGCCTTTTTCCACAGCTGGTTGTCTCACTTTCTTGACTCTTACTCGGTTTTTCTATTACTTGTGCATTATGTCTGGTCGTGGGAAGCAAGGCGGAAAGGCTCGAGCAAAGGCTAAAACCCGCTCTTCTCGGGCTGGACTCCAGTTTCCAGTAGGTCGGGTTCACCGTCTGCTCCGTAGGGGAAACTACTCCGAACGAGTGGGCGCTGGCGCACCGGTCTACTTGGCAGCGGTGTTGGAGTATTTGACTGCTGAGATTCTAGAGCTAGCAGGCAACGCGGCCCGCGACAATAAGAAGACACGCATTATCCCGCGCCATCTGCAGCTGGCCATCCGTAATGATGAGGAGCTCAACAAACTGCTGGGCCGAGTGACTATCGCGCAGGGTGGCGTCCTGCCCAATATCCAGGCTGTGCTGCTGCCTAAGAAGACTGAGAGCCACCACAAGGCAAAGGGCAAGTGAAGTCAGCCATACAAACTTGAGCTAAAAGGCTCTTTTCAGAGCCATCCACCTTTTCAAAATAGAAGCTGTTAACTCCTAAAATATATATTCTCCATGACGTAAATATCTTTTTATAGCAGTCGTTATTGTTATGTACCGTCTAGTTGCATGCAACTCATAGCGACCCTATGTACAACAACCCTAACTGCTCTGTCCTGTGCCAATCTCATGTTCTCCGTCACCTACCCCCTCTACCCCCGTCACTGAATCCACCTCAGAGGGCCTTCCCCTCCTAAGCTGTCCCTCCACCCTCCCAAGCATGACGTCCTTCTCCAAGAACTCGTCCCTCCTTACAACATGTCCAAAGTATGCCAGACAAAGCCTTAGAATCCTTGCCTCCAAGGAGCAGCCTAGTTTAACCCTTTCCAGGATGAATCTGTTTTCTTAGCAGTCCATGGTATAGTCAATACCTTTTCCAGCATCACAGCTCAAAGGCATAAATGCTCCTTCTATCCCCCCTAATCATTGTCCAGCTCTCTGATGCATAGCAAGTGATTGCAAAGACTATGCCCTGTATCAGGAGCACCTTAGTCTCCAGAATGACAATACAAAGTTCGAGAGTAAGGATAGGTTTGAAGGAAAATACTCGCCATGAGGTTCACCTTCAGCCATCAATAGAGCAAAGTGGGCTTTAACATTTTTCACGTAGAAAACACATTTTGTAAATAATGCTATCCTGTTTTTATTCTAGTCCCTGGAAAGCACCTTTATTTTCTAGATACTCTATCTCGTTAACCTTGATATATAGATAAAACGTTTCATAAATGAAGAATTAGAAAAGTTGTAATGATGGAAGAACTACCCAGTGGCACTCGATAGTTGGAAAGCCAGGTAAATAAGTGGGAAACACCACACACTAAACTGGGCACTGACATACCTTTTTTTAAAAAAAAAATTATTCATTTTAATGAAAGTTTACAGAAACTGAGGATTTCCATTAATTCATTGTTGCACTTTTCCCCCTGCCCATCCCTCCCTCCCCCTAATTCATTCTTCTCTTTGAAAACTAAAAGAAAAATTCTTTCATTGTTATACAATCCCTTCCTCCAAGTCCACTTCACTATGCAGTCTTCATTCTGGACTCCTTTCATGACAATAATACCTAGTCACATATCCCTTTTAAATAGTTTTCTCCCTCATCTGTTTCAATGCAGTATACATTATTTATCCCATCTTTCTCTTCCCAGTCTTTTCCCAACCCCGATGTCAGTCCTGTTTTACAACAGTGGCACTACGCAGTATTTGTCCTTTTGTGCCGAGATATTTCACTCAGCATAATGTCCTCCAGGGTCACCCGTTTTGAATGATATTGCATGAGTTCCTTGTTTTTTAAACGCAGCATAGTATTCCATTGTGTATACCACAGCTTCTCTATCCATTCTTCTGTTGATAGGCACTTAGGTTGTTTCCAACTCTTTGCTATTGTGAACAAAGCTGCGATAAACATGGATATGCATATATCAGCTTGGGTGACAGTTATGGTCTCTTTGGGGTATATTCCCAGTAGTGGACTTGCTGGGTCAAATGGTATCTCTATTTGGAACTTTTTGAGAAAGCGCCACACTGCCTTCCACAGTTGGCCGCAGCATTTTACACTTCCTCCAACAGTGAATAAGGGTTCCAGTTTATCCACAACCTCGCCAGCATTTGTTACTTGCTGTTCTGTTAAATTTTGCAATTCTTACTGGGGTGAGATGATATCTCATAGTTGTTTTGGGCATTGATTTACACTTGTGGTAAAATAAAATGAATCTCGGATTTCACTCAGATTTATGAAGTCATTTACATTTTTTTTTTTAGGTTGCTTTGGTGGCCTAGTGGTAAGAAGTTGCGCTACAATTTCAGAGGCAAATGGTTCAAATTCACGCTGTTGTTTTGGAGAAGGTGGACAGAACAGCTTCTGAAAACCTGGAGGGTCAGTTTCCAATTCGATGATACACAATAACAACAATTTACATTTTAAAAAAATTTCAGGCATAGTCTCAACACATTGAACTAGTGAAAAAAAATCATTAAAAAAATGACACCATAAAATGTAGGATTGTGTGATGGAATGGTTTGTCTAACTAGGGTTCCCAATGACAAGAAAAACAGGATTGTTCGAGGGATGAATTCATCCAATCAGAGTCTGCAGTTAGTAACCAATCACCATTCAGTCCTTATCCAATGGTTTTTATCTTGCGTCACTTTTGAATACTTATTAAGCCAATCAGAACATTTCAAATAGTATTTAAAGGCAACTTCGGAGCTCCAGCTTCCTATTCTTTGGCTTCTTCTTTTTCGTACTCTCGAGTGATAATGGCACGTACTAAGCAGACAGCTCGTAAGTCCACTGGCGGCAAAGCCCCACGCAAACAGCTAGCTACTAAGGCTGCACGCAAGAGCGCTCCTGCCACCGGCGGCGTCAAAAAGCCCCATCGTTATCGGCCTGGCACCGTTGCCCTGCGCGAGATCCGGCGTTACCAGAAGTCCACCGAGCTGCTGATCCGCAAGCTACCCTTCCAGCGCTTGGTGCGCGAGATCGCCCAGGACTTCAAGACCGACCTGCGCTTCCAGAGCTCGGCCGTCATGGCGCTGCAGGAGGCGTGCGAGGCCTACCTGGTGGGGCTCTTTGAGGACACCAACCTGTGCGCCATCCACGCAAAGCGTGTCACCATCATGCCTAAGGACATCCAGCTCGCCCGCCGTATTCGTGGGGAAAGGGCATAAACTGTTTATCCCTGTTAAACTCAAAGGCTCTTTTCAGAGCCACTCAGCTTCTCAAGGAAAGGAGCTGTAAAAGCACTAAGTTTCTAAAACCTTGGTGACTAAAAACCATAGATAATGGGTGAGCCTAACCTTTGTTAACCTGTGGCAGTAAGTCAGTCCATAAGGTGTTATGAGCTCCTCTAACACATGAAGTAACCAGGATCTGGCTGATTGTTGTTATGCTTGTTTTCTTTAAAGTACAGATTTTATCTATCCTATTTTGACTGTCACAAAGCCCAACTTCCCATGTAGGATTTTTCTTGCCTTAGAGTCCTATTATGTAGAAATTGGAGGAATCAACACACAAAAGATGATGATGAGGTCCTTTGTTGTTATGTGCCATCAAGTCACTTGCAGCCCTAAGAAGTAGTTTAGGGTGTATATTTTAAAATGCTTTTAAGTTTCTAACAGTAGCCTTTTGTTTTGCTGGTATGGTGCCATCAAGTTAAGGATGACTCATAATGATCCTACCAACAACAGATCTGAACCCTATCCTCATAATCTCTTGACACACTCAAGCCCATTGCTGTAGTCACTGTGCCAATCCACCTGGTTTAGGGTCTTCCTTTCCTTCACAGACTCTCCACTTTTCAAAACATGATGATGTTCCTCTTCCAAACAACATGCACAAAGCATGTGGGACAAGGCTTCATCATCTTTGCCTCCAAGGAGCTGTTTTTATCATCTTTGCCTCCAAGAATACTGCACCTTCTCTAAGACATATCTGTTTGTTCTTTTGGCAGTCCATGGGATATATAGTACTCTTCTCCAGCACCGCAGATGAAAGGCATCAATTCTTCTGTCATTCTTATTCATTGCCTAGTTCTCAAATGCATATCAAGTGACTGAAAAGACCATGGCTTGAAATCAGGTGCACCTTGGTCTGCAAACTTACATCATTGCTCCTCAATAATTTGGAGAAGTTCCTGACTACACTTTCTTGACTACTTGTTCCTGGTCTCTGACTATAATCCATTCCTGGTTTTAAAATGATGTGGACCTTAGAACTAGTCTCTAGAAAAACCTAAAATCTCACTTGCCAAGGTCATCTGGATGCAAAGCAATCTTTTAGGACAATGATTTTTATATCATGCCACATATGAAAAACAAAACACAGATCAATGTTTTATAATTTATTCAGTGTGGTGATTAAAATACAATTCTAGGATATATAATATATTCGGTGCTTGTGACATTTGTTGTGAGGTGACATTTTGCTGGAAGTAAATAGACAATATCCCTCTAACCCCAGATATTCTTTAATAAGTTAAGTGTAAGTTACAGTACTGTAGGTACTCTTTGCGACATATTAACACTTACATTAAATCAAATGACAAAAATCCCATAATTACCATCATTATATCAGCTATATAGATAATTAAAATAAAGGCAGTGCAATAAGAACTTACTCAACTTTTCACAAGTGTAATCATTCCCCTTTTGAATGAAAAGCAAGTGTTCTATTTGTTCAGTTTCTCTTTTCCTCTATTCACTATTCTCAGCCTAACTCAGCTCAGATTTAGACAGGAGTCTAGTGAAATGCAGGGAGGGAAAATGAGGTTAAAAAGTAAACAATTTTGCTCTCTCCCTCCAATCAGGTCACTTGCTGCCTAGAGAAAGCGGGGAAATTAATAGGCGGTGACTGAGACATTTTCCCGCCACCTACTTCAGTTCTCAATAAAGTCCAACAGCGGCTTATAATTACTCAGGACTTGGCTTTCAGGAACACGGCAGGTAGCTGTTCATCTTACAGACATGCCTGGTCGCGGTAAAGGTGGGAAAGGCCTTGGAAAAGGTGGTGCCAAGCGGCACCGCAAAACACTCCGTGATAACATGCAGAGCATCACCAAGCCCTCCATCTGCCGCCTGGCAGGCAGCTCAGAAGTCTACTGGCATTTACGTATAGGGTACTTAAAGAGGGAAATGGGCAATATTCCACTCCCAAGATCTGAAGCCTTTTACAAAACTGGGATACGATGGTACCATTTAAAACAAAATCTTTAGGGGGGGGGGAATCTAAATGCACTGCATTCAGAATAGCAGGGTAAAATGTGAAGGGAACAGGATAGAAGACATGAGCCAATGACACTCCACTATTGCTGAAAAGCTTGTGAATAGGCCAATCAGAACATGACGCACGATATTTAAATATTTTTCTCTTCCAATCACCACAGCTCAGGTACTATAAGTATCAGCAACAAAATACTGCTATTTTCCACAGCTTTTACCATGGCTCGTACTAAGCAGACAGCTCGTAAGTCCACTGGCGGCAAAGCCCCACGCAAACAATTAGCTACTAAGGCTGCACGCAAGAGCGCGCCTGCCACCGGCGGCGTCAAAAAACCCCATCGTTATCGGCCTGGCACCGTTGCCCTGCGCGAGATCCGGCGTTACCAGAAGTCCACTGAGCTGCTGATCCGCAAGCTGCCCTTCCAGCGCCTGGTGCGCGAGATCGCCCAGGACTTCAAGACCGACCTGCGCTTCCAGAGCTCGGCCGTCATGGCGCTGCAGGAGGCGTGCGAGGCCTACCTGGTG